ATAAAATATAAATAATATGAGTACTGTCTGCTAAATTCAAGAAAATTTATGTATTTATGAAATAAATAAATTACTTACCTAAATTATCTGAATAGCTGATTTGTTGACATCACTTATTTAACTAGCACTAGCATGCAGTACGATGTGTATCGTCTGAGAGACAGTTACAAAATGTTTTCGTCGTTGCCAATGCCAAAAAATGCCATTGTTCACTAAGTCCAAACAATGGTGGTCGAATTCTCACAACTGATCAACAATGCGAACTTTGATAAGCAGTTCTCGATAATCAGTTCTCAACAATTATTTGTTATTATTAAAGTTTAACATTGTAACATTAACAAAAATAATATAAAACTCATATCCTGGCAAAATAGACACATGGCAGCCGAAAGCCGTATATTCCCTTCCCGTTCTCCCGCCGTTCCCTAGCTTGTCGTGCATTCTATCCAAAAATCGGGACTTTTTTAAAACACCGCAGGACGCGGGACAAATTGTTAAAAATCAGGACTGTCCCACCAAAAGCGGGACGTCTGGTCACCTTAAGGTAGGGAGACCTTCATTTAAATCAAGCTGTGTAGAGCTTTGAAATGTGAAGGAAAAAAAAACAGCAAACACTTTGCAACCCTGGATCTGTAGCACGCGTGGCCCACTGACTGAGAAATCTAGCCCTCAGCTAAGTAACCTTGTTATGATAAAGAAAGCTTGATGTTACTGCCCAAGTGTCACCTCCTACGGGCTGTTCCTTGTCTGGTATGCCCTTCCCTTAAAGCCAAAGCCTCAGGAGACAGCGTGGAACCCCGAAGCACAAAGGAAAGAGAAGGGGCTACCGGTCCTGATGGCTTTTCCATTTCACGGGCTTCAATGGACTTTAGCAATTGTTTCTTGAAAATTACAGAGACACTGTCATTTACTCACGCAGGACGGACTGAAACGTGGAATGGTTTTCTCCTAGTTGCACTCATACCTATTCTGCCCAAGGAGGTTGGGTTTTATATTCTTGAAAATGAGAAATGAAAACTCCCGTAAAGCCTAGGGCATACATTATGGGAACCCCTCCAGCGCCCCCACCTCATCCCCTCTGTTTCCATCCCAATCAGCCTACTCAGGGGTCACCCCACCCCCTCCCACTGACTTTGCCCTCATTCCCAAGAGCGGACAATGTTTATGTGTTGCTTCTATTGGCTTGAAATCATAAGTCTAGGAGGTTCCCACTTGCCAGCGCTTTTCTGCTGCCTGCGATTTTCTGTTTAATTTACTCTCGAAGTCAAACTGAAACCCAAGTCCTCCTGAGAGTCGATCAGGAGACAGATTGCCGCGGGTTCCTGATACACATGGTGACTTCGCCATTCCTCAACCCCCAAGGACATAGTTCTCAAACACCCACCTAAACTCGACAGCAACTGGGTCCCCACTCCACTGCGGCCGAGTCAATATAGGCACTAGCCTATCTGCCACAGGCTACTCATAATCTCCTTCCAATTGGAGTTGGGGACATAAAAGCCATTTGGGTAATTCTAGTCTGTCAAGGGACTCCGAAAGAATTTTTTAAAAAATGCTGAACGCTGAAGCAAGTTAGACCTTGCTTTGCAGGAAAATTACCTCTCAGGGCCTGGGAACTACCAGAGTTCACTGTCGATTTTTATAGAAACCAGGTGGGAATCATGCCAATAATCAGAAACCTCAAAAAAACATGACCGTGTTTGCATCCTCACTACAGAAGCAGCAATCAAGCCCAAGGCTGGTGAAAAAAAAAAAGACTTATTCCAAAAGACAATCTGCAGGGAATGCGAGCCAAAGGCTGGGGAGGGAGCCGGCAAAATCCTCTACACCCTTCATTGGAACTGACATTTCCAGATGACAACCCGAGATTCTGCCAGACCTGGGATCTTCTAGGAAAGCTACCATTATAGCCTATATCATCTTGTGCTTCACACCTATTGTCATGGCCCTGCCTGCATCACAGTCAGAGGAAGAGTCAGATGTGATGATGTGCATGAGTGCTTCTGAAAACAAAGGGCTACTCAACCAGAAGGCTTCACGAATGCTTCTAATAATGCCTTCAAATTGGTGATCAATATATGGTGTGAACTGTAATACCTACATGACCCCTTTATAAATGTTTACCAAAATGGCCAATTCACCAGAAGGTTCCATTTCACAAACATTCACCAGCAAACAGAGTGGAAACAAAATAGTCCAACTGATAGCATACAGCTCTATTGTTGGGAGTCCCTGGGTAGGGTAAGGTGGGGGCAACAGTTAACACTCAGGTGCTAACTAAAAGTTTGGAGGTTCGAATCCACCCAGAGGCTCCAGGGGAGTAAGGCTTCTTCATGTAGTATGTCCTCATCTACTTGAGATAAATCAGCCACGGAAAGCCCTAAAGAGCACAGATCTGTTCTGGTACACATACGAACATCACGAATGAATCAACTGACTGCAGCTAATATTAACTATATTGTTTTTTCATTCTCATTAATGTATAGTTCAAGGAAACCCTTTCAATATTATTAGAGAGTAAAGATTAATCAAGCAGACCAACCTGAGAGTAGATGCTCAGTGAAAAAAAAAATTTTTTTAACTAGACACATTAAACAAAGATTTGGGAAAGAGAAAGGTAATTCACCAAACCACATAAAGCAGTTACTAATAAAGGTGCTGGATGAGAGCCAGCCCTCTAAAAGCTAGCTTGCAGACTGCTGAGGTCTTTGCTTCGCCACAGAATGCTCAGCATGTGAGTTTCACCCAACAAGTGCTCAGTAGACAGCCTTGGAAGCAAAGAGAGAGAAGGGTGGCATCAGATAAGCCCCACCCCACCCACAGACTGCTACCTCAGACCAGTTAGTTAACACCTTTAATGACAACGGGGCATGCACAGAGCTTTCTACATTTGTTTTACGCCCTTTCAATGTTATCCATCTCCTAGATGCACATTCCTTCCGCCAATCTTTTCTTCACTGTGTGCAGTGCAGGCTCGGCATTAAGAGAACTTGAGCTTTGTCAAAACGCTGACAATCGTGTGTGCCTTCAAGTTAAGGCCGTATCAGACGCAGATTCGGGACACTCTCAACACATCTGTCTTGAGATTGCGGGTACTCTTAACCTCTCGCTTCCCTACCCGGCCATCAAAAAGAGGAGCGAGTTGGATGCCTTGTCTAAAAGAAGACGATCAATTTGGATTTCAGCCTTTACAAGCAGGAATTGGTCTAGAATGGCCCTAAAGACAGCTAGGTCTGCCTTAAGTTCTTTTTTTCTATATGAAGGATCAGTCATTAAGAAAGGAGCCCTGGTTCTTAGTGAGTTACATGTTGTGCTGCTACCCTAAGGCCAGCAGTTCAAACCATCAATCGCTCAAACGAGAAAGATAGGCTTTCTACTCCAGGAAAGATTCCAAGTCTCAGAAACCCACAGGGGCAGTTCTACTCTTTCGGCAGGATTCTCGGGAGTGAGAATCTACTTCTTGGCAGTGAGTTTGGTTTTTCGTTAATTACTAAACAGGAAAGGCGGAGCTATATGGGCTATGAATAGTTGATTCTAAACTGTAGCACAATCTCCCACCTTTCTCTTTCAGGAGGGGCATCTCTATCAAGAAAGGAGAGTCAAAAGGTACCCAAGGCTCAAGGGGAGGTGAACTCTCATGCCACCCTAGATGCCAGGCCCTGTGGAAGGACTCCAGGATACAAAGAAGGAATGAGTTCCTTCTCCTGGACCGCGAGAGCCAGTATTTGACACATCTTCCCATGTTGGAAGGAGGCCTTGGTTAAGTGCTAGATTGCTAATCCGAACTCTCCAGCGCTCCTGGGAAGAGAGATGTGACTCTGCTGCTTGCACAGAGTATTGCCTTAGAAGCCCCGTGAGTCAGAACCTACTTGAAAGCAATGGGTTTGGGTTTCTAGTTTCCTGGTTGGTGGCTGGAGTCTAGTGAGCTGGCCGTGGACAACAGCGCTTCACTCCTTAGGACTGGTGTTCCACAATCGTACCTGTAGAGTTTGTGCAATTTATCGGAGGGACCTCTGGACAGCACCAGCCTCAGGTGTTCTTGATTAGCTATGGCCAGTGGAGAGGCGACTTGCTCCACGCAAAAAACGGACAGAGCGGTCTCTAGCAAATGTGGTCAGTGTCTTTTTGGGAATCTAGCAGGGCATTCGGCCCCCAACCTGTCATTTTATTCCCACTTTAGATCTCGAACCCAAGAAAAAGGGATTCTAAGGACATGGAAAACACTGATTCAGGGACGTGGTTCCCAGACTCTTCCTCTGGGCTGTGAAAACCCAAGGATCCTTTGGTCTTAGGCAGGCCATCTCCCTCTTGCTAAAGGCAACTATCCTTATCCTTATGCAAGGGCGCGCGCCTGGCAGAATGGGCAGCCAGTGCTTCCTGAATGTGAGTGTGGGGGCCCATTCACCCATACCCCTACCCCAAACCCTATGATGCCCCATCTCCTCCTGGAAGCACCCACATCCCTTTCCTCCTGTCTTACAGTTAGCCTGGGCGATTCCACTCCCCAGGGACAGTCAAGGAAAGATGAGCTCAGGCCAGCATCTTCTCCGCCACTCTGCAAACCCAGCATTCAAGGCCAGGCGCGCAGGTCCTGGCCCCGCCCAGGCCCATTCATTCCCCTCCGGCGCCCGGCGGGGAACCCCAGGCACCGCTCCCCCGGGTCCCTGGGCCGATCACACAGTGCCCAGTCCTTTATTGTTCGCATATCTCAAAAGTGGCCGCAAGAGGATTTCCTCTTTACACTCTCTTTCACACCTCCACGGCACCTCTCCCCTTTAAAATAAAACTCGGTTTCTGCCAGCGTCCTCGGGAAAACCTTAAGCAGCAAGCGCCAAGAAAGAAAATTAATCCCCCTCCCCAACATCCCACCTCCGGGCCGGTCCACTGTCAGCTAGCGGCGCCGGCGTCTCTGCCCCCACCTCGCGTCCTTCCTGCCAGTGCTCCCCCCCGCCACGCCCCCAGCCACACTGCCTCTCAGAAACACAGAAAAACCCCCTCACCCTTCGGTGGATGCCATGGTCTGGGGAACGCCCCCTCCTCTTCGGCAGAGTCGGTCAAGGCGGCCAAAGCAGGGAGCCGATGGCGAGTGAGCGCGCGAGTGTGGCGCGCGCGCTCTTTAAAGGGGCGCCTCTCCCCGCCCTCCCACGCCTTCCCGGGGCAGCCCCTTAGCGCGGCGTGCGACGCCCGCGGGTGCTA